AATATATTACAAAATACTGATAACAACCAGTTTTTTAATATTCAAATATGAATTATTCAAGTTATTTTTTAATTTAATTAATTTTCAAAACAACAGATGGCACCACATACAATAATTTCATAATAAATGACTGCTGAATTATTTCGGATTATATCGATCGGGAACTTTGTGTATTTTTATTTATTTATTTTTTTAGATTAGATATTTGTATTATTTAAGCACGTTATACAGATAATGATTCAGAAACAATACAAATGCATTAGATAATTATTATTAATAGTGAAGATTTCCAAAGGTTTTTCTAGTCACAATACCACATTATCATTATTTATAGACAAATATAAAGGAAGTTTCATTAATCTGTTTAAGGAAAAGTTTCAGTTATTTTCTTAAAATTTAATAAAAAAATTCGAATTCAAATACAATAAGAGTGAGTATTTTAACAGTTAGTAATTATGTGCAAAATCAGCATGACCAACGAAGCATTTTATTAGAATTGATTTTATATATTAAATATTTTAAGAAAAAAATTTATTGTTGTAGACAGCACTTTCCTAGTTAAGTATGCTTCTACATTCATATATATATATATTTTTTTTTTCCTCAATCAAATGATCCATAAAAGTGATTTATGACATAACTTAATTACTTGTTGAATTTTTTTCTTAGAATAAAAAATAATAAACATATTTACAAGCTCTTACTATATNAAATATTAAAATTTAAATTTTATAATATATTAATATTATTCTCTTATTTTTCATTAAATATTTCTTATAAAATTTTATTCTGTTTTCTAAATTTTATTATTTTACTCAATTTAACCTGTCTAGTTTAAATTGCACAATTTACTTCCTTTATTTTTATGTACTAACTATATTTTATAACATAAAATTTAGGTTGATAAATAGAAAAAATCTAGGACAAAACGTATTAAGATAAAAGAAATAGAAACTTGCAATCGATATTAGAGAATATTTCTTTATTTACGATTACATAACGATAATTTTACATCAAATATCATATTATCTCTGGAAAACAGAACAGAGAAACAATAATAATGATGTTAAAACGATAAAATTTTAAGTAAAAAAAATTAAAATTAAAGTAGTAGCCATTTTTTTATTTTTCTTATATTCTCATCAGTGACCACTATTCATACTTGATTATATATAAAATATTATTTTTAATTTATGTTGAAATTTCTACAAAGGTGTTAAAATTTAGATATATTTTGAAGTAATTTTTTTTAATCAAATAAAATTAAACTACTTTAAGTCTACATTTGATTAGTTTAATTCATTTTGGAATTGAGATATTTAATAAATGAAATTATACAATATAGTGTTTATGTTTTGTTGTTGTGTGACGTTTACACGAAAGCTTCAATTCGTAAATTTCGAAATATTCGTTAGAAAGCTTTTTGGTTTATTCAAGATCAATGTAATTGAAAAATACTTTTATGGAATTGAAAATATATATTCGATAATCTCCAGAAATGAGCATAGAAAATGAAAGGACCAAGGTCTTTCAAATGTCAAGAAGGACCCGAGCCATTTAACTTTTCCAGAACTTCGCTATATTAAAAAAAAAAATTAGTGTTTTTAAAATATGATAACAGTTAGGCCTATATTTTTTATTGTCACATTAAAAATACATATTTTTAAAATATGATAATAAAAATATAGATTAATTATACTTTCTAAATAATAAAATTTGAGAAAGATGATTTTATTTCTTAATACACAAGAAATGCTACGGAATGAATAATTTGTAATAGTCTTTTTATGCTTCCATAAATAAGAGGCCCGATTCAAAGGATCCATTAATTCTCTTGTGAAAGGCCTAAAAGTATAATTCGGATGAAATACTAAAGAAATTGCATGATCACAAACCCACAAATTTAATACATTAATAATAATGCAATTTAACGATAAAAATATTATAAACGTTTTCATAACGTCTTTCATTCTTTTTTTAAAAATTCATTCAGCTAGATATTAATACGTTATCCAATTAATGCGCTAAGCGGGGCTGAAACATCACATCCTAAAAGTCAAAATTTAAAAAAAAATTGTTTATGTAGACGAACAAATATCAGACAGACTAAATAGTTAATCGACGCTTTTTCTATTGATAAGTTAAACATTATACAGAATCAATCTGTTTAAAGAAAAGGATTAAATCTCGTCTTTCTATTATTTTAAAATAATATTTGCGTTAGTACAGAAATTGTTTAAAGATGTCAGAAATAATTTAATAAAGAAATAAATGTCGTATTTTCACTATTTCTTCTTATACTTTTTTAAAGATTGTTTTTAAACGATTTTAATATTATTGACACGTTTTTATTCATATAAATTTTCGAATTTTATTATATTTCTGTTTAAAGAGTTTGAATGCATAATGTGAAAATTTAACGTGTTAATTTTTGTTTTTTATTTCTATGTATTATGTATGTGTATATATATACAGTATATATATATACTGTATATCATAATTTATTTAATTAACCGTTATGGATATAATATATTTAAGAATAATGAGAAATGGAAAAGACATTAATTTCTTCCTTCATTTTAAAGCATTTTTATCCCAATATTTTAATAAATTAAATTCGTATTTCTTGTTATCAATAACGAACTATATTCTATATATCAAAATACGTTTTCCGCATTTCTTTATCGACGTCAGTCAGTCAAAGACAATTCACTATGGGTAAACACTGACGGGGGGGTGAAATTCAACCATAACAGTGGAAGGTCAATATTCGGAGAACGATAATAAATGCACTCGTTAAAGATGAATTGACATTTTAGTATGGTGTAGCAATGTTTTTTAAATTGTTTAGAAAAGAATGTAGATTCTTGATATTTAGGAATCGCTTGGGTTATCAGGGAGAAGAATATTTTTTGGGCCAACTTTTTATTGTTTTAAAAACTAAACGGTTATTCGACCATGACGAATGATACTTATGTTCACAGTCAGATTAGGTTCAAAACTGACATTAATCTACAATTAAGGATTACCGGATTTTTTTTTTTTTTTTGAAGGCATCAGATAAAATATTTAGTTTTTAGGAGATTTAAGTTATTGTATTATTATAAAATTTCAGTTTATTTTCTTTATTATTACTGTCTTTTTAATTAAAAAAATAACTTTAAGAAATAAACTTGGACACTACTATTTGTTTCTCATTTCATATAGCATCATTTAAATAATATTCATATCCATCATTTATGTTCCTCTACTTGAAAATAAATAATTTTATGAAATTTTAATTGATATTAAATTGTCTTTAACGCATTAAATATTACCATATCGTGTTAAATGTTTCGTAATATATTAAAATTTAAGGAATTAATCTAGATTTTTTTTGTCGACGCATAATACAGAATGTAAAATGGCTAGAGTAGGATAAAAGCATATAAATAGGCTATATATTAATTATAATATGCGCTATAAAATATTTACATTTTTAATATGAAAATATAATAAAATATGGTTTTATTTATTTATTTTTAAAACCTTTAAAGTATAAAAAAATATCACACAATATCATAACATTTAATTTTTACTGTTTTGGGCACTATTATCTTAAATCTAATCAGGAACAGATTACAGAAGATTCTATCATTTTTTTTATATCGGATCCGAAATACATAATTATATTGTCTTATCGTATGAAGATTATATACACTTTAACAATTGTAATTCATATTTTTATATGGGTTACACGAGAAGAAATCATTTTTAATAAGATAAATCAAAAATCGTGATTGCTAAACAGGTTTACTTTTTAAAAGCAACACAATAGTGCTCTGGCAAATAGGTTACTGATAAAAACAAACTAAATGATTTAACCTGAATAAAACTGAAATTCATCTTTTGCAATTTTCTTTATAAAGAATATAATAGACCTATATATTTTAAACCATTAAACAACCATTTAGAGTCAAAGAGTAATAAGTCAATCGATTTATAGTTTTTTTTTATTTTTTTAATAAGCGAAGTTTTTACAATTATTATTTCCAACCAATTAAAAATTAAATAACATTTATATACTCAGGAATAACTACGATATTTTATTGATGTCCCATGACGAAACAGATATTGTGAAAACGTGACAAGAACAGTCACCCTTATTCAAAAGCTGACATTTCATATAGAATATAATATATCGGATATCCTGAATTGTTTGGTTTATTGTTTAAAATGTCGTAGCAATCAGGCATAATTTATAAAGCATCTTCTTACAAATAAACTATAATTTAACCCAAAGTATGCAAGAACAACTGGAATAAATATTCCAGATCATAATTATTTGATAGATAACTTAACGTATATATATATAAGTTATCATCTCTTGAATATAGGATTATTTAATAATTTAGCCCAATGATCCACGGATCTCTTCGGGGATCCATAGGAAGTTTTCAGAGATCCTTGGACTTGGAGAGATAAAAATGAAGATTTAAAACTTATTATTTTAATTTTGTGTGAAATTGTTAATTATTAGATTAAAAAAGAAACAAATATATTACTATATCGCATAATTTTTTTAAAAAAATTTTAATAAATGTATTTCTCTATAATTAGTTTCTTTGTAATTTTTATTTTATACGTTTAAATACATTATTTGGAACAAAAAGATTGAGAACTCTAAATTTAGTTTAGCGTTATTTTAATAATTTGCTGTTTTGATTTAGTAAATAAAAATTAGTATAAAAATTGCAGTTTTTTTTTAAATTATATTTGAATTTTTATTTATTATAAATTTTAAAAAAATATTGACGATAAATTTTAGATTTTTAATTTATCATTTTATTAATGTATTCTACATTCTTTACATATTTTTATCTGTCGATTTAATTTTAGTTAATTCTACCACAACTTGTTTCGCGGTAACTTTCTCAATGAAAAAGTGAAAAACCCTCCCGAATAAAATTCTATTTCGAAATATAAATGATCCTACCGCCATCTAATGATGAAAAAAAGCATTTGATCGTTTTCTTAAATTCTATTTTCGAACATATTTATATTAATAGTATACACCGTCTTATCTTTTATCGAATTAAAAGACTCCACGCTTAGAGTTTGTAAATAGAACACAGCCAGAATTCCGAATACGAAAATAAATTTCTCAGATTCTATTCTTGCTCCGGTGACAAGATTATACACTCGTACGTTCAAGATGGCGGACGAGTTAGGAAAGCAGATTTCGTCTCACGGTAAAAAGTTTGTTTATTCTCGAAAATAAAACGACTTTTCCAAATAAAAAGAAATGCCTCGCGCACGTTATATTATTACATCGGATTTTTATAATATTTTATCGTTATCTTGTAGAATAATTAGAGAATTTATAACAAAGTTAATTCGTCCTTGATAAGTGTCGCAATTTCAAATTTTGTATGAAAAATTTCCTTCATTTAATAATAATAATGCCGGAATTTCGGTCGTATTTTACCATCTTGATTGTTTATTTCGTGTTAAAACGTTTTATTTCTAAATTGGGAGAAGTATCGAAGTATCTACCATATATACTAATGCTTTCAAGAGTCCCAAACTAATCAAGGAAATCATATTTTACATTTTTAATTTATTTAAAGTAAAATATATGGTTTCCACTTTAAATTATTAGTGTTTTGCATCTATATCTCCTAGTTTTCCTTTAACAATAAAGTTCACGTATCTAACACTTTTCAAAGGTGTTTATAAATTAAAATGACGTAACTTCCGTTGCAATCTGAAAGTACATAGTTAGTAGTGCCTCCTGCCCCTAAATCTTTCATATCTAGTGTTATCATTTACCTATCTAAGGCCACTATCGAAATTAAGAAAAGACATTCGGTAAAGACACTACTACAGTAGAAATTTATAGGACTTATAGAATTTATAGGAATGTAATAAACTTTTTTATATTGTAGCCTAGTCTGCTTTTCGGCTTTAATTTGTTTAATGGTAATTTTTTTTTATTTGTTCATATTTTGCATGAAAAGACTAAACTTTTGTTCACAGGCAGAAATAGGTCTCGAAAGTACATAATACAAAACGCATCGAGACATTTTTTTGGTAAGTTTTACGTTTTTTCCTATTTTAAAAACTCAGTGCTGTAAATGTCGACTTTGATAGCATTTTATCAGATATCAAAAACAAAAATCATGATATATCGAGAACTTTACGTATTTTAATGTGAATTTATGTAAATTAAAACTTGTGATTTATTACTACTGTACTTTATTGTAAAAGTACAACTGTATTCCTGATAATCGTCGTAGTCATATCTTTGTCATTAATAATAATTCTTGATTGAAGCTTAAAAATCACTCAATTGCACTCCCTCAGTTTTTTTAATAATGGTATACAATTTATATTTTTAAACATGAATTACTGAAAATTACACTATATTTCTCAGTAATTTAACTGTAGGAGAAAATACTTGAGTACGAATCTTGTTAAAAAGGCATTTTCTTTTTTTCAGCAATAAGCATAATATACAACGTACACACTAGTAATTGACTACTACAACTTTATTTGGCTGCAATTTAAAAAAATTGTAGATTTATAAATTTACACTGTCATTAAGCTGCAAGGCAGATAACCTAAAATTACTGTTTTGTAATATAATCGTAACTAGTTGATAACAACAATAATAATAATACATGCAGTGGCCAAACGTTTTAAAAGTTGAAAGTTGAATTTTCGTACACTGTTAGGAAAACGCCATGAAAATACACACTTAAAAGGAACTTTTGAAAATTTTTTCCCGCATCGGTAAGGGAAAGAGTTAAGTCTTACTCTGAAGAACTTGGCTTCTTCTGTACTATTTGAAATAGGATTTTTCTCATTTTTGTAGAATATAGTACATATTTTTGACGAATCTAAATATTATATTATTAGTGTTTAAAGATGGTAAACCTAATTGTTGTTTCCTGTAAAAACAAGTAAGATCGGCTATAATGTAATAATGTTACTATTTGTATCATTACTTTTTCAGTTCATTGCCTCATATAGGATAGATAAGATAAGTAATGTCAAGTTTTTATAAATTTCGTGCACAAAGTCACTATAAATGTTATATATTTATATATTTATATATTGTAATATCAGCATATAATTTTACACTTATTCAAAGGAATATTGAATTAATACAAATAATAGTTTACAGAAAACTGTTATTTACACTAAGGTTAAAGTAGTGAATTAGTTCTTGCAGTTAACTTTTAGGTTTAGTCGTTCTTTAGTGGGTAAAATAACAAAGAATGAACCTTTTTCATTTTTTAAATGAATAGATTTATTGTATAAAGGAAATCAGATTATGTGTCCAGGTTAGATTGATTATGAACTTTGTCATAAAAAATATTTGTACTGTTTATGTGTATTTGATTTTGTATATTTTCAAAGTGTATAGCCTGTTTTTAACACAGGTAAAAAATGAAAAAGTTCACAACTGAATAAATTACGAATTAAAAATTTATGTTTATTTTCTGGAGTTTTCTTATAAAGTGATTTTAAATTTATTTACGATTCTATTTTTGTAACAATGCACAGTGGCAGAATCTGCACAGNGTTCCAAACTAATCAAGGAAATCATATTTTACATATTTAATTTATTTAAAGTAAACTATTATTATATAGTATATTACATTGCTTTCTTAATTATTATTGTGTTTAAGGAGTGCACTGTTAATTCATTTGCTTATATATGGCTTATAAAAAACACACAGTATTTACAGCATATAATACTGTAAATACTGTGTTTTTTGTAGTCTTCAAGGTTTGTATTGAAATATTTTATGATGTATTGTCTTTTTGAGCACAGAAATTTAAAAAATGATTGCTTATTACAATGATTTGTTGAAGGTGATAGATTAAAAAGAAGAGAAAAAAATTTGTAAATTAAAATGTGAATTATCTCAATTTTTACCAATTTTTTCACTTGTTTTATTAACTATGAAATGAATTTATAGAATATTAATAAAAAAAAGTTTAAAAACTTTTTTGAATCATTTTGGCCCTCAAGGAAGAAAATCATTTCCTTAAATAAAAGAGGTATTTAATCTTTTGTAATCAGAAAAAATAAATTTTTTTGTCATTTTTAAACATTTCTTTAAACTAAATAAATGTATCAACTGTTGTAATTTTGATAGATTTGTTTATTTGAGACCTAGAATATGCTATTGAAAACAAATATTTATATATTACTTACAGTTGGTGAATTGTATGTGACCACAGCAGTTTATTTCAGATTCTTAATCTGAATATGCAACTGTTATTAGTTTTGTATCAGTTATCTAACTGAAAATAGTTTAATTGATATTAGTTACTGATTCAAAAGTCTTTTTTTACCATACTAAATGTTTAGTTTAGTTTTTAATTGAAATAGAATTGGGAGAAAAGTTTGATAGAGTAATTTTTAGAAGAACAATGAATTCAATTGTCACCAGATATATCTCTTGAATAAGGGTATGTCCCATGTGGCAGCTTCTGGCGACTGCAAGAGTGAATGCACTACTACCAAGTGGAGCAGATAAACTGATATAAGCAAATGGATGTGTCCAGAGTAACTGTTTAGTGTGCAGCAACTACCAGATGACACTTATTCAGGTGCATGCATGAAGCAGTTACCGAGCAAATTTGATTGTCACTTCCACTGCTTGTGCTTCCAAATAAGAAGAAAATATGGATCATCATTTATTTCATTATATATGGTCAAATTCATCAATTCAACAAACTTTTTAAAAATAGTGTCTCTTTTGTTTACGAGAAGTTTCACTAATACAATGTAGAAAACTTCTTTCTGTGCTAAGCATTCAACAAAGTCATCTTGCTGCCATTTTATAAACAACACATGTCCACTCTGGACAGAATTCTCACAAATTGGAAGTGTGTACAAAGACTTTTTTCTACCCACATCACTTTATATCACTGTGTAGGTTATACCCTAAAGTTTTACCCCTTAAGTCTTGTTCTAGCTTCTGTCATCTCCCAGTCACTGTGGGAAAAAATTAAATTTACCAATTTGTAACAGGATATAGAGTTCTTTTGTTTTCAAATAAAAAATGTTCATCAAAATTAATATCTCATTGTCATTACCTCACTGTTTCATCATTAAATCTCTTAAACCATTCCAATTTGAATATACAGGATGTTTTTTAAGTTCTGCCAGATTTCAAGTACTGAAGAACAAAGTGGAGTGCAAGATGGTACCCTCACTTTGCCCTTCAGATAAGACGTTATCTGGACGAATAATTTGGTGAGTCCTGGCTTGGTCATATGGGCCATTTCTTGGCCCACAAGGTCTCCCAATTTGATATCCTGCAACTTCTGCCTGTGGGAGGATATTAAAATGAAAGTGTATGCTGAGAAACCTGCAAATTTGCATCACCTAAAGAAGAGAATTTGTATGGTTATTCAGGACATTTCAGGTAAACATCATCAATATGCAGCTTTGGGATTCCAGAAATAGTTGCAAGAGTATTTGGACATCACTAGAGTACAGTCTGGTGTTGAACAGCTATATATCACCATCAAACTTTGGAAGTAACATTTCACAAGTTATTTCATGGTGATGTAGCATCTGGATGATGATGCACTGAAATCTGGCAGGACTTAAATAACATTCTGTATGTTTGAATTGAAACTGTTTTTAGAAAAAAATTAATTTTAATTTTTGGATATGATTTAAAATTTAACTTATTTAATTTTATGAAAAGTTCAGCACTAAAATTTTTTCTTTTGCTGTACTTTTTATTGTTTATCAATCAATCAATAAATTATTGTTTATAGTAAGTATTTTAATTTAAGAAATGTTCTTTTACAGTTGTAAGAAAGATATCAGCAATTATTTAAAAATAATTATTTGCAATTTTTATTAAATAAATTTGCATATTGATAAATTACCAGATATATGGAAATTTCATTTATATAAAAATAAATTAAACTAAATTTTTTTCAATAATTTTATTTATTATCCTAATGTACATTTCAGTCATCTGATATTAGTAATGAACAAGATATAGATATTAAACTAGATAAATATTTACAATGATAAAAGTTGAAAATGATAGCTTATAAACAATCATAAAAATATTTATTTATCATGAAGAATTAATATAAGAAGTAATTTTATAGTTATATGCTTTAATTCCATCTGAAAATGTAATTTCATTAACATTTAAAAATGTTAGTTTATTGGACTGCAGTTGTCAAATTGTAGACCTATACATTC